TCAAGGAGTGTGCCAAAGCCATCTCTGAAAAGGACTCCAACAAAATCCACCATTTTCTGTGGATGTTGAACGAGCTGGCCTCCCCCTATGGCGATTCCGATCAGAAACTGGCCTCTTACTTCTTGCAAGCGCTGTTCTGCAGGGCCACGGAAACCGGGCAGAGCTGCTACAAAACCCTAGTCGCCGTGGCAGAGAAGAACCACTCCTTCGACTCTGCTCGAAGGTTGATCCTCAAGTTTCAAGAGGTAATTGGTGTTAAATCACCGCTAAACTCAAAAGCTTATGTAAATTATTTATGGTAAATTTAATTTTTTATTCATATTTTTAAGTATTCTCAAGATATAACAAGTGTTTATAAATATTAATTGGTATGGAATTAATAATACAAGAGTTCACCCTCTAGCATCATGTTAAATACCTACTAAATCTCAAAATCTTTAAATTTGATCTTTTATTTCTAATTTGAACTCTTCTTTTCTTTCACTTGAGGATTTGAAAATTAACACAAATTCCAACAAGTTATCATCCATATTAATGGGAGATTGGAAAGAAACACGGTAATTCTTATTCTAATATCATGCTAAATCACTATTTTCTTTTTCTTTTGAATGGATAGTATTAGAAATGGTGAGGGACTCGAAATGTTATTCATATTTTAAACTATAATTAAGTTGACGAATCAACACCAGTAAACCTTAAAAGCTTAAGCTGATAAGCTACGGTTAAATTTGATCTTTTTATCACGCAGGCGAGTCCGTGGACAACGTTTGGGCACGTGGCTTCGAACGGTGCGATTCTCGAGGCACTCGAGGGAGAGACGAAGCTCCACATCATCGACATTAGCAACACTCTCTGCACCCAGTGGCCAACCCTACTCGAGTCGCTCGCCACCCGAAACGACGACACGCCGCATCTCAAGCTCACCGTGGTGATAACAACCACAATAGTGAAGCCAGTGATGAAGGAAATTGGGCAAAGAATGGAGAAATTCGCAAGGCTAATGGGAGTCCCCTTCGAGTTCAACCCCATAACAAATCTCAACCACTTGACCGAGCTCACAAAGGAAGCCCTCAAAGTTGAAGAAGACGAAGCCATAGCCATAAATTGCATTGGAGCCTTGAGGAGAGTGAGAATAGAAGAAAGAAACAATGTGATCACAATGTTCAAGTCACTAAACCCTCGAGTTTTGACAATTGTGGAGGAAGAAGCCGATTTCATAAGCTCCAAAAATGACTTCCAAAAGTGCTTTGAAGAGTGCCTTAGATTCTACACTCTCTACTTTGAGATGTTGGAGGAGAGCTTTGTGGCAACAAGCAATGAGAGGTTGGTTTTGGAGAGAGAGTGTTCAAGAAGCATAGTGAGGCTTTTGGGGTGTGATGAGAGTGAGGGAGAAATGGGAAGTGAGAGGAGAGAGAGAGGGAGGCAATGGAGCAAAAGGCTGAAAGAGGCAGCTTTTTCCTCAGCTGGGTTTAGTGATGATGTGATGGACGATGTCAAGGCCTTGCTCAAGAGGTATAGATCCGGCTGGGCGGTGTCGGATCGACCCGCCGAAGAAGAAGAGGATGCCGAATCAAGGGTCGGAGCTTACTTGACGTGGAAGGAAGAATCAGTGGTGTGGGTTTCAGCATGGAAACCCTAGGATTATTGACCGAGAGGCCGTAACAATGTGGCGGAAGGTTTTATATCGCTGAAGCTAGAAACGAAACACTAAAAAATTGTAGCCCGATTGGATTCGGAGGATGAATAATTTTCACTATACCACTATATATTCATAAAGTTGGTTTTTTTTTTTGGGCCATGAAAATATTATATTATATTATGTAGATTTTTGGGTATTACTTTGTTTTTGTTTTGTATTCAAATTTATATATTGTTTCTTAATTTCTTCTTGGGAGAGGGTTTTTTTTTCTTGTTGATGTGTGTTATTGCCTTTGTTTTTGCTTGGTTTTTCTTTTCCCATGGACTTTTTTGATCTATGGAGTTTGTGACTTTCCAAAGCCAAACACATCCCAAATTTTGGCTGGATATTGCTTAGTTTCATCTGTGTATTTGTTAGCTATTGTGAGTTTGTAGCAACTTCTTTACATTTTATGATGAACTCTAGCAATAGGAATATTCTATGGAGTGTATATATAGACATACATATAAATTTGATCAACATTTTATTTTATTTTTTTGAGGAGGAACAATGAGCATGAAAACAAAAGAATAAAAGTTCTCAAAATAGTTATGGGTTTGGTTGATAATACCCATTTCTATATATATATATATTGAAGGAAAAAAAAATAAGTCCTTTCTAAAAAAGTAAGATTAAACCAAATATAACTTCCCAAGTTATATGTTTTGTTCTTGAAATTTCTTTTTATTACCAAAAAACAATATAAAGGAGCTACTACTAAAGACAACTTTATTTCTTTGAGGGAAAAAAACATAAAACTAAAAAGCTGTTTTAATAATGGCAGTTGGGACATGGGGCTTTGTAGTTAACCTACTATGACGTCTTGTGTTCGAGTCATGCATTAGTCACGGTGTTGCTCAGCATAGGCGTGACGAGCTCCAGTTATAAAAATCCACTAGCATATAACTTAAACGACATTGATTCCGAAAAAAAAAATAAAAGAAAACAACATCCAACTATATATACACAAAATTTGGTGATTCTTTTGTAGGTAGCAAGCTGAAAGGTTATTGGAATTTTTGTGGTTGGATGTATCAGTTTGGGAGCTGGGAAAACAACATCCATATCCATATATATTAGAGAGAACAATAGAGAGATCTACTGGCTTTCAAGTGTTTGTAATGTATAATATTCTTTCAATTATAAGGGCTGACATGTCACAAAAAGGGAAAGTTTGGGAACAGGGTTTTAATCATACAAAATTTCAGTTCCTTTTCTCATTTGGGTTTGAGAGAGAGATATTTTATTACAACCAAATGTGACGGTAGGGATAATTTGAACCTTCTAACCTATACAAAAATAGGTACCTTAGCTGCTAATTAAGCCAGACTCGTTTTAATATGTAAATAATTTTGAACCTCTGACCTCGAGGAAAAAGGTAGATACTTTAACCGCTAAGTTAATTATGCTTTGTGTTAAGGATTCCACATTGAAAAGATAAGAGACCTAACAAAAATTTATAATATAAGTGGATTATTCTTCCCATAGCCAATTAATTTTGAGATCGAATCTCATGAATATTGATATGGTATCATAGCCCAAAAGCTCAAACGAGCCTCGAGGGGTTGTAATGTAAGGAGGTAGTCTCTTCTATAGTCAATTAGTTTTGAGGTGGAACCCTACGAATATCGATATGCTCGTGGTGCATGGGAAAATAATTTGAACCTCCAACCTCAAGGAAGAAGTAGATATACCTTAACCGTTGAGCTATGCTTTGTGTGTTAACATGTAAATAAGTTTGAACCTTCTTCTACCTCAACTTCAAGAAAAAAGTAGATACTTTAACGGCTAAGTTATATCCTCGTGTTGACAGATAAATAAATTTTTCTTCCCAATTTTCAAAACACGTTTACGACGTAACTATATACCAAAAGAGGTAATTAAAAAGTTAAAAGACAGCCTTTCAAGAAAGGAAAAAAGAAAAGGTTAAAAAGACACTTTCACATTAAAGGAAAAAAAAACTAAACCCCCTGAACCTAAAAAGCTTACTTTTATAAATTACAACATATTTAATAATTTTGATATATTAATAATCCTCTTCAAATATATATACGTAAATAAATGAGCGCAAAGTTTAATAGATAAAAAATTATTATTATCATTATTATTATTATAGTACAACAAGTGGGGTTCAAACTCACGACCTTTTCGTCGGAGTTTATATATATATTATACAATAAATTGGGGTTTGAGCTCACGACCTTTTCATCGGAGATAAATATCCTTGACGAGCTGACTTATATTTAAGTTGGCATATAAACTAAATCATCATTATTAAATCTAATAATTTAAGTTGATATGTTAAAGGTTATCTTTTTAATATATTCTTATCACCAAGCACACTATTTGAAAGAGGTTCAAAATATGTTTCATTTTAACTTAAACAAAGCCATTTTTAAAATATGGAAAAAAGAATATGTTCAAAAGCATTATCCTTTAGAACTATTTGATTTCAATTTCAAGCAAAATGAAACTCTAGAGAATAATTAGTAATTCCAAATGGTTGAATTATCACTTAATTATCACCCAATAAATCTTGAGTTAGAAGCAAACAAACCATTCATTTTGGCCCCCAACATAAAAATGGGGTAAGGGGAAATATTTCAATCATTGGCTTAGTTCCAAAGAGGGAATTGAGGGTGTTGCAAGATGTGAATCTAACTAAATTTGTTATTAATAATAAATATAATTTTATCTCGCTTTTTAATTCTCTCTAATTCTTTAAAATTTTCAATTTAATTCTATATCTATTAAAATTATTTTAAGCAAATTTTCTCATTATCGTTGAATGATAATGTTGCATGTTTGAGGTAAATTATCACCTGTTACGTGTTGACATCAAAGATTATCAATCACCATGATGATCAGAAGAACCAAATGAAACTTTTCATCTGGACAACTTCAGGCAACTCGGTAGTGGAAGCCGAATTGATCTACATTTCACCTTCCGGTGGACCTTCGTCAGGGACGAGCCGACTTTAAAGAGCATCGGCAGGTCCAAAGGCAACAGACACATTCTCGGCCAACAAGGTGTCACAATTCTCGAGCGGTCAGATAGTCGTTGGAGTACTATCAAGAGCCCTTTCAGGAACTCGCGTCTATATAAATAGATATTCATGTCTCTCACGCAAGATATGTGAAACTATATTCTCTCTTGAGTATATAGATTAGATTATGTATTGACTTGAGTATTAGAGTGCTAACTCTATTTTGCAGATCCTTCGTACATCAATATCTAAAGTCTGAGCTTCACAGCTGAGATTAATCATTTTCGTGATAAAAAAATGCGTGAATTTAAAACTGGTGTTCTTTTATTAGATTGTCAATGGTTAGTTTGTAGATCCATTTTTTTTAGAGCAGCTCAAGTCATTTCAAATCAAATAAGTTATGACTTGGTGCGTTAAATTAAAACAATTAAGCTATATATAAATATTCATGAAATTCCATTTCAAAAATCAATTGAAAATGAAAGGAGTAGTTCATGTATATTATAAACATTTGTTAGGTTTTTTATTTTTTCAATGTGAATCCTTAACATGCCTCCTCGAGATGGTGGTTCTTTTGGGCTCACCAATCTTGACTGGATCCTATTTTTGGATGAGATATTTGTTTGAGCTTTGTTGGACTCTAATACCATATCAATATTCATGGATTCGTCATCTCAAAGTTAATTCGCAATAAGAATAGTAGTCATGTATATATATTATAATAACCTTTGTTAGGTTCTTTATGATGTTTTCAGGGTGAGATATTTTAACATATCCCTTCAATATGATGGTTAGATACTCGTTTGAACCTATTGACTCTGATATTTGATAAAGCTAAACAAAAAAAATGTGTATGTCTTTCATTATCTCATGATTTTGTTTATTTGCTAACATTTCTCTTTGTTTCTAGCTACTTCTACTTTCAAAATCGTTTTCTTAAAACCATAGTCCAATTTTAGAAAAGAAAATTAATAAAAAAAAAGTTTTCAAAAACGTATTCTTTATCTTTAAAATTATGTTTATTTAACTAACATTTGTCTTTGTTTCTACTCCTACTTTCAAAATCATTTTCTCACTATTTCTGCTAAAAAATTCATTTTCTAAAAGCATAACCCAATTAAACAAATAGTTTTCAAAAAATTATTTTTTATTTATTTTTTAAATTTTGCTCAAATTTTAAAAAGGATATTAAAAAAGTTTAAAAGTTTTGTTTATTTACTAACCTCTCTCTTTGTTTTCGACTCCTACTTTCAAAATCATTTTCTCACTATTTCCGCTAAAAAAATAAATAAATAAAATAACAAAAATTTCTAAAATATAACCCAATTTAAAAAATAGTTTTCAAAAATTTATTTTTAATTTTGCTCAAATTTTAAAAATGGTACTAAAAAAGTGAAAGACTAAAAGAAAAGTATATGTTTTAGGTTTAAATACTATTTTGGTTTCTATATTTTTGACTCTGGTTCATTTTAATCTCTGTAATTTCAAAACGTCTATTTTCGTCACTGTACTTTGAGTTTTTGTTCGTTTTAGTCTTTATCATTTTAAAATGTTCATTTTAGTCCCTGTATTTTTAAAAAGTAACTATTTGATCCCTTCAGTTTCATTTTTATCTAATTTCTTTCTTATCATAATTTTAAATATATAACAATTGATCACTCATTAAATTTCTTGAAACGTAGCCATAAATTTTTTATTAACAAATTTCCATGGTACATAAAATTTGGGTTAAAATTTTTCAAAATAAGGACCAACTTAAATAATCACTTCTTACAAGTACAATAACCAAAACCAACGTTCTGAAAGTAAATGGACTAAAATGTACAAAAGTTAAAAGTACAGGAACGACCAAAATGGACGTTCTAAAAGTACACGAACGACCAAAATGAACCAAAGCCGAAAATACAAAGATGATACTAACATTTAAACCTCGTTTTTATTAGAATAACAACTTTTAGAACAGAAATCTAAAAACAAAATCGTTATCAAGCAAAGCATAAAAGATCATTAGAAAAACGACGCAAACATTTGAGATCGAGAAAGGAACTACACATTGAGAAAGAATGAGTGAAAGAGGGGTTAGAGTCCAAGAGGAAGAAGTTGGAGGGCTTGGTGAGAGAGGC